TTAACTTTATAAACAACGCTATACAAAGAAGTAATTTAATAAACAGCATTATAGAAATACTTAACTTAAACAACATTATAGAAAGAGTTTCTCAATGTTTTTTTTTCTTGAGAATTGTAGATTTTATAGCTGTAAATAAAAATAAATAAAATAATATGAATTTCAAATTAAACCTGAATCGTTCTAAATAGGTACATCATTTCTATAGTCTTCTAAATGTCATTTGGGGCTTTTTAACCAAATTGTTAGCAGGATGCGATATAAAACGAATGGATTTACTCTCCATGATGTCTTGAAGTGGCTCCGTCTTGATTGATTTATTCTTCCGCTCGATTCTTTATTCTCATCGAATCAGACACTTTACCGGCACCATTTGATATGAAGCAGACTTAATCTTCGGCAGGATAGTCAACGCACATTGACAGAGAAGAAAGATTGGATAAAAAAAACCCCAGAACCATGGCAAGTAAAGAACAAGAGCAAAAGAGCATTTGTAGTGAATTGGCATTCGAAATGGTTTTGAGTAAATCCAATAATCTGGCGAAAAGAAAAGCCAAAAATTTAACGTTATATTCGCAAAGGCAGAATTTGAGACTCGGTGATCTTACTTGGAATGCATTTTTCTCAAGGAAATTCTCTTTTAGAAACGCCACTTGGCCGAACATTTGCTGATCGATAGGAGAGGCATTTTCTTGAAAAGAATTGAAGTAACATCAAGCATAGAAGTAAGCATCAGTCCTATGTAAAGAGGGATGAGTTTAAGTCTAAAGATTACGGTTAGAAATGAAAATTAAAAAAAGTATTGTGTAATTTGTAAAAAGAGAACAAATTCTATTAAACGGATATAGAACGCATTTTACTTATTCATTTTACCCCAGGCAAGGTAGCTTGCCACTAAGACCCAAGAGTCCACGAGGATTGAAAGTAGCAGGGAAAACATTAATATAAGAAAATATTATCATAGAAAGTACCCTTACATTTAACAGTTCAAAAAACGAAATTATGACAGCTAGTTGACAAGCTAATAATGCGTTTGTGGAGGTTTCAAATTAATCATAAAATTTATGACATAATCCGTAATACAATGATATATAAATGATACAACGACATAATAAATGGCGTAAATCAAAAATACAATGACGTATAAACAATACAATGACAAAATACAATAACACCATCAACAATATAATGACATATAAGTAATACAATGACATAATCAGTATTACAATGACATATGAGTAATAAAATGACATAAAACAATGTTATCATCAATAGTACAATGACATACACCCGTTTAGAGTTGTAGCGCCCGCACAACCCCTCCCACAGGAGGAGCAGAAGTGTTTTTTGGGCAAGGGAACCTGACCCAGCCCAATCCTTTCTAGAAATTCTGTTATTTCCTTCTCCTAGACCGTTTGCCAATCACGACTATAGGGACCAATGTGTCCTGCTATTTACCCATAGCCTGGGGAAAGTGATGGGTTCATACCTTAGCAAGTAAGTGAATGTAATGAACTCGACATTAATTTGGACTCAGCTCTCCGATTCCTGAATCCAATCCGTTGTTCATTACAACACAAGGAATGGTAAATACTACATCTACATCAACAGGAGAAATGGAAATCAGAAGCTCTGAAGTCGTATTAGCTTTTTTGGGGTTGCTAAGATACCAAGGAAGGGGGGGGCATCAAAGTTCAAATTATGAACACTGGGCGAGGCATGATCACAGACGAAAAGGGAAGCCAGCAGAATATAGATAGAGACCATCCATCCACCAATCATGGAATGTATTTCCAAAGAATATATTTTGGAAGTGAAAATATGAAACCGAAATTCAAAGGCACAATAAAAAGAAAAACTTGTCCGTTACGATTAAGCAAAGTATTAAAAAAAAAACAGGTAAACTTCGTCAGAAACAAAGAAAAGCATTCTGAACTGCTATGTAATATCAGTCCGCTTATATAACAAGTTCCTTATAGATGAAGAGTATGCTTCAAGCAATAGAGATGTAGCTCTACAGAAGTATGCTGAGAATATCATGAATGGTGCCTGTGAGCAACAAGAAAGTTTTAAGTAAAATGGAAACAAAATGAAAAATTATTCTTAAATATAGAAATATTTGAAATTTCTAAAGCAACTAATTTGGAAAGAAGGCTTGATGACATTCGCAAAACATATTGAATCAGAGTTAAACAGATTAGAACTATAGCGGTTTCTATGTTTTTCACACTCACATACACTCCAACTCATTTTATTCGCCTGCGATTGGCTAATAAATTACTACTACATTGTATAGGGCAATTTAGCCATCGCAGTCGTTCCTTTGAATCTTTTGGTTCTGAGCATACTTACCTATTCTGTTTAGTACGAGTGTAGTGATTGGTCAATTTTTAACCAATCACATATTTTTAATGTAAGATCAAGTTTTCCCCCGGTTCCGTGGGAGCCTACTTCTTTTTCTTAAATAGGGCGACTTTTTGCAAGTCGCCAGTAAGATCCCAGCCGTCAACACAAATCTACGATCTTGCTCATCACACTCTAATGCACGCACAGACAAAGAATTTCGTAACTACAAACTCACATTTTCTCTCTGTAACTTTCGCCAAGCACAATCAACCAGAACTTTTCAAGCAATTGTATTTCTTGGTGTTATTCATTCTTCACATGCAAACTTTGCTCTAACAATTATTTCGGAACATTAATCTCACAAGAGAGCTTTCTTCAAACGGTTGATTACAATCAATCTACAGTCAAAGGAAAACAACTTCCTTCTCTTTAATTTATATTGTGAATACGATTTTATTTCATGTTTGTAGTTGTATTTTATTCAATATATATTTATTGGTTAACAAATGGAGTTGTTGTTATTATTTCTTGAATCCTGTACGTGGAAGAATCGTTAATATAAATAGTAGTCGTACCTATATATTTGGTATTCCTGCTACATTTAGTGAATCTTACCGGCGCTATATTTGGTAAATACGCTACAGAACCATCTTAAATAGCTGGTGTAGATTAAGTGCAGGTCAGGGACAGGGATGAAATTTTAAAAGAAATATTTCGAAGACATAGAATAGATTTGGATAGCAATGACCTCCGACGACCTAGCACACGACTCATAGAAAGTATGTTCCCTCTTATAATTGCTGATCAAACCAACAGAAAGACAAAAGATGCTGGGAAAATGGCCAGCTTACCAGAGAGTCTTTTTTTTATCTATTGTGTCCCTCCAGGAGGTAGACGATCATGGCTCTCCACTTCATCCCTATCCCTTGTAGCTCTCCATAAGTTTCGGCCCTCTGCCACATCCACCAGATCACGTTCTCTCATCCACATGCTTAAACCCGTTAGGTATGTCATGCGTGGCTTTCCCTTGTCTCTCTTTCCCTCTATTCGACCTGTGAGTATCATATTCTCCAGACTCTCCTTTGTCATTACGTGTCCCAGAAATTTCAGCTTCCTCTTGCTGATGTTAAGTATAAACTTCGTCCTTGTTTGCATCCTCTCCAAAACCTCATCGTTGCTCACACGCTCGGTTCATATTATCCTCAGCATCCTTCTGTAGAACGATATATGCGTTGCGTTGATCCTCTTCTTCATCTATGAGGAGACCGTCCAACATTCGCTACCGTAAAAGAGCACAGATGTCACGTAGCAATTCAGTACTCTTTCCTTTGTTACCAAAGAAATCCGCCTGTATCATAATACCCTGCCTAGCTTTTGAAATGCGTCCTTGGCGATCCCAATACTTCTTCGGCCGTCCTGGGAATGAAGATAAACTACATCCGCGTCTTGGGTAAGACGATAAACTACGTTCGACAGCAAGGCCTCTGATCAGGAGGCTTTGAGGAGCACAGAACCTCCTCTTAATTGCTGGTGTTCCCAGGTTTACCCTGACCCGGGTTGGTATCACCAGCTATGGGCAAATGGTTAACCACGAAACTGAGGTAAAAAGCATTATAAAAGTGTAAAAATAGGTTTTAATACCAGGAATACTTTGTAAAAAATATTTTTGCCAGAAATAAATTTTTGAAGAAAAAAAAAAAAACTATTACCAGCAAATAATATTACCAGCTATACGTTTCTGAAAAAGTAATATTGCCAGCTATACATTTTTTAAGAAAAAAATATTAACAGAAATCGCTTTTTGACAAAGCAGAAATATTACCAGGAAAAAACAAGTTGTCAGCATTAAATGACACAAACCAAACCAAACCAAACTTCTTTGGATCTCAGCGACGCACTTACTGTCCTTCCGTCAAAACATTTCCCAGATATTTAAACTTCTCCACCTTCTTGATTTTCGTGTCACTGAACTGCAAATCACATTTCGGGTTCATACTTTTACGGATGACCATGCATTCTATTCTTTTTATGGTTAGTCCTTTCTGGCTCTTCTTCGCTATCTTCTGGAAGAGGTTTTTTAAATTCTTTTCCGTGTCTGCTATCAGTACGACTTGACTGATTCTGCTACACTTCTTTTTTTTTTTTTTTTTTTTTGCAAGTGTCAACTTAGACCAAAAATATTGCATTGCTACCATATCTAGGTTACAGTTACTCAGTCCCCAGTTTCCAGCCTTGATAGAGTTCGAAACTGTTTATGTAGTCTTCTGGCGGGAGATGCTTTTCCACTGCAGCCAATTTCCAACAGATTTTACTTCGCAAACATACAGTACCGCTATTTCCGTGGCATATGTTCAGATGAGTGTCAATCCTATCAGTTCGGACGTTTACATCTAAGACTGTCTATGCTACGCCCACTAAATCGAGTTTTAGTCGTTTCCTCCGTATTCGAATAGTAAATTGCTGTGCTTCTTATCCGCAAAATCTTCACTTCATAGAACCTCCTCTTACATCCAGTAACCCTCTACTTTGAGTAGCTCTCGAGCCTTATATAAAAATGATATTACAGTGCTACCAGAATCCAGTCGAGTTGTATTTGCAAACTAAAAAAAAATAATCAGTGTTTTGCATTTGCCTTTCATACTTGAAATCGGTAGATGTGCGTGTTGTTTCAAGACGCCGGACGTGTTGTAAGGCCGACAAACATAGAAAAAACAATCACTTGTTCTATCCGGATGACAGCCATCGTCTTTGCGATCACCAGTTGGTGGGAAATGAGCAAATGTGCAAATTGTACGGTGATAAATTATAGCCCAGGAGATAACGCGAAAAATTACGTGAGAAATTGAGTTCCTCGGTTACTATTTGCGAAGAGTTTCTGAAGAGGCAAGAAAAGACTGAAATTGCACGGCTCCATGATTTCTCCAAAGAGTATTGCATTTCATTCAAACCTTTTTTCATCATTCTTTTGAATTCTTCCTCATTCAATTTCTCTCTTCTTTTCTTTTCTTTTCTTTTCTTTCTTTCTTTTTCGAATGCGTCCTCATCCATTTTCTTTAATTCGCGTTTCTTTCTTTTTCTTTATAATTCTTCCACATTCAGTTTTTCTCATACACTTTCTTTTCTATCTTTTTATCATTCTTGCTTTCTACCTCATCCACATTTAGTTTTTCTCATACACTTTCTTTTTTATCTTTTTATCTTTCTTTCTTTCTACTTCTTCCGAGTCCAGTTTTTCTCAAACACTTTTCGTTCTTTTTCTTTATTTCTTTCTCTCTTACGAATTATTCCACATTCTGTTTCTTTCTTGTTTCTTTCTTTTCCGATTTAGAATTCTTCCTCGTCCAGTTTTTCTTATACTCTTCCTTTACTTTCTTTCTAATAATTAATCAGCCTATTTCTTTCATTCTCCTTCCTTTCATTCATTCTCCTTTCTTTCTTTCTTTCTTTCTTTCAAATTCTTCCTTATTCATTTTCATTCATTGCCTTCTTTTTTTTTTTACATTTAGAATTCTCTCCCATCCAGCTTCTCTTTGCTTTTATTCTTTCCTTATGTCTTTCTAACCTTGTTGTTCCGTTCATTTTCTTCGCCTTTTAGATTTCTCTTCTTTTTGAGGCTTTTTTTTCTTTTTGTGTCAATCGACATCTCCAGTTGATCTATCCACTATCCTTCTCCTCATCCTTTCCTTTGTCGCTCCTATCTGATCTCGCTCCAAATCTTCTGTAACCCCTTGCGCGCTAGTGGCTTCCCGCCTTGCTTGGGGTGAAATGCTTTAAAACAAAAAAAAAAAAAACAAACAAATTTTAATTTATTTCTGTCTATCATTCTTTTTCCCTTTCTGTCTTTCTCTTTTCTTTCTTTTTCTTACCCTCACTTTCTTTTGCTTTCATTTTTATAATTTTACAAATTTTCATGCGTCTTCTTTATGTCCTATTTATTATTTTCTCTTTCTCTTACTTTTCTCTCTCAAATTTTTCTTCCTTTTTTTGCTTATTTCCTTTTCCTTTCTTTCTTTCCATTTCCTCTATTCTTCTTTTTGAAATCTTTTGTCTCTCTGTCTCTATCTGCATTATGATTAGTAGCATTATTCGGACTGTTATCCTCATCTGCATTGCCATTTTTCACAACGTTTCGGTCGTTGTTGCTCCGGCCTTCTTCAGCTGACTGGAATTTCGAACCCAACTCTTTATTTCATCTACCGGGGTAGATTGTTCTAGTTGCACATGCCATGCTTCTTCCGGATGTTTCAGTTATATCCTTTTAAAAACGTTGGTTAGACCCAGTTTTTTTTTTCACCACTGCTGTGGCCTGGTATTGAACTCACAACTCTTTGGGTCTAGTCACTGGATCTAACCAACATTTTTATTGGGCAATATGTCCTATGTCTTTCTGTTGTGTATGATACACCTAATTTACATAAGCGGACACCGACCATATAAATTGGGGGTACCGGAAGACGGGGAAGATAGTAGAGATTAAGAAAGAATCCAGAGACTCTGGATCTCAACCCATTATGCAGGAAAGTCTTCCCAAGAATATACCAAACCTGTAAATGGGCTATTCTTTGTGTCAATACATTTTGTTAACGTACATTTTGTGTTGTATTATTCCATGCTTATGTAAGCTTCAACACTTTCTCTCTCTATTTTTGGGTTTGTTTAGTCAGTTTCCCCCTTTCTTTCTTTTTTCTTTAATTTTTACCTTTTTCTTTTATTGCCTTTCTTTTTCCTTGTGTGCCTTGTCGTGATTGCTTTATTCTTCTTTCTCTCTTTTTTCTGCTTTTTCCTTCTATTTTCTTACATTGTTTTGCCTTCTCTTTCATTTTATATTTTTCTTTTTCTTCTACCTTTTCTTTCTCTTGTCCTACATTCTTTTGCCTTCTCTTTCATTTTATATTTTCCCTTTTTCTTTGTTATGGTTTTCCATTAATTCATTTTTTTCTTTCTGTTTTTCTCTTTCTTTTATTCTTTCTTTCTTTTCTTATTATTTAGTTCGTCTTCTTTTTATTCAACCTTTTTAACTCTTAGTGTTATTAATTCTTTGTTTACTTCTCTCTTTCTTTCCTCCTTCCGCATTTTTCATCTCTTTTCCTTAAAATTTCATCATTTTCTTTTTTTGTCTTTTATATGTTTATCCTTATTGATATTTCATTTTCATTTGTGAATGCTACAAAAAAAAAGTATGGCTCACTTTCGGCCATAGTCTTTGTGGATTTCTTTGAAGGGAAAAAGGCTTTGATTGTAATGGCTTTTCTCATATTTCTCCTTTTTCGACAATATTAGTCATTAGTAAAAGTTTCCAACATTTCATTCTAAACTCATAAATTCCACTGCATCACTATTCAGGTATTAAATACTGTTGTTGACTTTAATAGACCTTAGAACTCTGGCGCATTATATTCGTCAGTTTTTAAAAAAATAAACAACATAAATGTGCACCAAACAAAATTAATACACATCTGTATATAGAATATACCGGGGAGCGCCAAACAGATGACGACACCCAACTGTTAATTTCTGGTCAGTCAGTCATGTGCCATGCGTGATACACGATCAGGCGATCATGTATCTGTCGATACATGACTAACGAGGCAGATTTTTTTTTTCCCGCAATAGGTTAATATTTCTTTCAGCGATAGACCAGTTGACATTCAAAGCTATAGAATCCGGTCTGCCCTGCTATTTACCCATAGTTGGGAGAGAGAAAAAGAGGATTCATACCTTTGTCAAGGTATTAGCACGTAAATGAATATGAGAGATTTGACTGGACTTCAAACTCGGTCTCAGATTCCTCAATTCGAGCCGCTATCCCTTCCTCCATCGTACCCTCCCATACAATGTTTTTTCTCTCGCGATATTAAAATGTTTTCATCAGTTTTCGCTTTCTTTTATTGGGTATCTGTCAAAATACCGATCGTTATTATTTTTAAAATATATGTAATATATTCAATCTCCAGTTTCCAAAAACAAAACATGGAGTTCATTATTATTGTTACTATTAATAATAACAACATTATTATTATTATTTCCTTTGATTTCTTGTGTCTACTAATTTTTTCCGGGTCCCAACCAGTGACCTAAGGTCAGTAATGACATCATGACATTTTCCACTGAGCAGTTTTGAAAAAAAAAACATATTTTACATAGATAAAAACCTTTGTAATGGGGGGGGGCTGTTTTTAATTTCTTTAAGGCACGGGCTACCAGGGATCACTTCAATGAATCTATTGGAATCTTTTCCATTCAGTCCGAAGGCATCAATTGTCGATGTTCTCATGTGTCACATGTTTGAGATTTCGATTTCAAAGTCCTTGTCATTTGATAGCTCTTTGAGGATCTTCAAAGATACATTGCAGTATGCAGGGGACTACCATGTCAATAAAAAGGCGCATTTTGTCTTTGTGGTCCCTAATCCCGATGTCTGGGCGATTAGCGTTGATTGTTCTGTCTTGTCTGGGCGATTATTATTATTATTATTATTATTATTATTATTATTAATATCCTCCCTGATTCCTAAACGCATGTAGATGTATCAAGCAGCGCTAATACGTAGAGACTCTCAATGATTTCAGGTACCCCTAAGGCACCTTTCGTGGCAAAATGATTCCTGGAAATATTCCCGAGTGATCCAATCTCCAAAGAATTGGTATGGTTCTCTGATTTGACCTGTCATGTTTTGTTATCTGCTCTGCTCACTCGGTTTTTATCACAAAATTATCGCATTATCTAGCAGGAACGATTCCTGGCCACTCTTGTGTGACTCAGGGCGATTGCTCTCCAAGTGCTTTTCAATCAAGACCTATTATTACTTTCTTCTCTTATGTCTCTACAACAACCATGTTCTGTAATGTTCAGTAGCTCAATATGTAGTAAAAACAAATAACAGTGATGGATATAGCATTTACACGGGGAAATATATAAAGGTAGCCGCCTGTTTGGTCAAAATTCATTCCTTTGGTGGTGAAACTCGAGTGACCTCTCCAGAACACAGTCCACGACTGCATGCTCTGCCCAGACTACATGGCTCGATTCTTGTACCAACAAAATCAAAAGGAATACAGCCATTATATTTGAGGGCAGCTTGGTTACAGGAGTTGCCTGTAAGTTGTCATAATTCTTCAGATTTCCCCTCCAGATTCTCTGTCTCCATAGCCTTTTGCGTGTTTTGGATATGACCGTAGGGCAGCGGATGTTTTAAAATCTGGGTTTTTCTTTCCTCTAGTTGGACTGCCATGCTGGGTTGTCAGGTTCCATATACACGAAGCAGTTGGTTATGAAGCACCAGTGTTCATCCTTCGTCCATTCCCTGGACTTAGTTGTCACTTTTGGAAAAAAAAAATTTTTCATTTGTTTTCTGTATATATGATATTGACCGATGGCAATATTTCTCAAAATAAAATCGTAGAAACCTCTCAATTCGTATGTAAACAAACAAATATTGGAAAACTTAGGTACATCTATTTAAAAATGTTTGATTCAAAAACACTTTTTCTTATAAAAATAGTTTATTTCAGGTAGTTGGCATAAATTGCTCGGCCTATCTGAAAATTGATGGGTTTCTACGACCTTTAACTAAATTTAGCGATCCGCCAAGATCGTAAATTGACTTTTTCTTCCTAAAATGAACAATTTCAGTACAACGAAAACGGTAGCTAACCATAAAAAAATAAGGTCATTTTCGGAATTAGCGCCAATAAATTAGCTAAAAAATGTGTTTTGTTTCTTGGCACCAAAAATCGCATGCCACGGAAGCATTTTATACACAGTGGCAGCCTGTCTCCATTATCACCTCGGCCATAAAAACCTTAAGAACATATATAATGTACCTATCTATAAATATTATATATATTGCGTGTTTTTGGAACTCGTCACTATAATAAAAAAAAAACAGGAAAAATATGGACAAACACCCGAGGGAGAAATCTTTTAAGGTCGAAAAAAGCCAGCCGTAGAGAGAGAGAGAGAAAAAGAGAGCCGAAAGAGAGAAAGAGAGAGAGAGAGAGAGATAATTGAAATTGTCACGGAAAGATTTATGTAAAGGGATAATTTTGAAATAATTCCTAATCATAGAATTCACAGATAAACCAAAATATATATTCACTGAAGGATAGTAACAGAGACAAAAAAAGATGCTAATGATAAGGCAGAATAAATGTTATATTTAAAAATATAAACATACCGCCAGGAGTCACGAATCGATAGATACTATCTATGGACCTGACTAAAATAGAGTAACACATTATGAAATGGACAAAGTCCAACAATTATTTTAAGATATTTTTATAGATAGAAATATTTAAGTAAATGCTCTGTTTATAATAAACAGTATTAAACATCATTTACCAGCCTGAATGTCCGAGTAATTTTCATCGACAGGCATCGACCCTGTATCCTATACGGAACCATTATAAAGCCTGACGTGACTTTAACCAATTGAGCCACAGAGGAGCTGTCGATTGTTAAGATTTTTATGAGATTTTTTTCTCACGCTGCGTTACTTCAAATAAGCAAATTCTTCAAATAGCAATTCTGTTTGCTTTGCAATCGGTTAAAGGCACGTCAGGCGATATGACGGTTCCGTATAGGATACAGGTTCGATTCCTGTCGGAGGACGAATAGTTTCTATGAATATTTCTCGGGCATTCAGGCCGGTAAATGTTGTTTAATACTGTTTATTATAAACAGAACATTTACTTAAATATATTTGCATCTATGAAAAAATGCCTTAAATAGAGTAAGCATATTTTCTCTTAAGAATTTTGAACATGGAAGACGAACAGGTGAAGATGGCATCTTCACAGCTTTTAAAAGATTCGCACAGCTAATTATCCAATGTATACGGCAAACAAAAGCGAATCAAAAATTTCGGTTTAGGGATAATTATACATTATAAAAAGAAGATAAAAAATATTGGCAAATATCTTCTTTATCTGAAATATACAATCCTTTTAAAACATATAAAAACATCTGCAGACGATATAGATGGTACTGTACAGACGTTTGGAAATATGCATGGGAGAAACTTTACGAAATATTGGAATAGATATTTTTTAGCTTGTAATAATATATTTGAGATAATAACAGATTATTGATAGAATTCTTACTATTATAACTGGGAGAATATTTACATTCATACGTTTCCCAAAGGAATTTGATTATTGTAAGTAAATATAATGAAACTAACGGTGTTTAAAACTGGGCTGTTCCATTGATAATTCCGTGTCATTATTCATTACATCCAAGCTTCGAGCACCTGGTAATACCAAGCGATCATCCATCTAAAATCATTTTAAAAATAGTGTTTTTAGTTACTGGAAGTTTATTCCATCTATATCGACCTTGTATTTATATATATATATATATATATATATATATATATATATATATATATATATATATATATATATATATGAGTGTGTGTGTGTGTGTGTGTAAATATATATAATATATATTTTGGGAGCAGCCTTTCAAATATGTTTCGTCAATATACATTATTTAAATTCCTGGCAGCCAGGAAGAAACGCAACACTAGCACATTCCGAAGAACTAGATAAAGTCAATAAAGAATTCTGTCATATTCAATGAAACATGTTAGAAAAATGTTACTGGCCTTATATATATATATATATATATATATATATATATATATATATATATATATATATATATAAAGGGTGACCCAAAATACGGGAATTTCTGAAGTGCGTATTGCCAGACATGGGCAAGTGGCAACACTGCGAGACAGTGACATTGAGCAAGTAAGTAAACATTTCGCCATTTAGAAATCAAGATGAAATTCACAGTATCCCAGCTGAGATGTTGCAGCAGTCAATGAGGAATCTCAACAGCAGATTTCAAGAAAGCATTCGTACAGGAGGACGCCATCTAAAGGACGTAATTTCTTCGATCACTCTTGGTTTTATTGGATTGTTAAAAAGTTCCCGTTTTTTGGGGTCATACTATATATATATATATATATATATAGGTAGGTGTGTGTGTGTGTGTGTGTGTGTGTGTGTGTGTGTGTGTGTGTGTGTGTGTGTGTCGGCCGAGAGGTGTGTACTGGCTGGTATTGATTGTGATCGGGAGAGGCTAAACTCCGCGATAATCACCTATTCCGAGCGGTCGAATCTGATTCGCTACCTTTTCGCCACCGAGTTGGAACAGTTGGTTTGACGTTTACCTGATAACGTAACTGCTCGGGTTTCAATTCTTGGTAGTGGATGCGCACTGCTGATGAGTCCCAAATATAGGACGAAACGGCCGTCTACTGCTTTCTGCATTCTGATGAGGTTTCTATCAGACTCGATGAATTACTTAATTATAATTATCTCAAATCCTCCTAATTTCTATCCCTTGTATATCCTTGCTTGAACCAGCTTTTAATGCTCTGGACTGAGCGGCTTGGGGATAGTGGTCGTGGCTCGTGGGGGTACAGTCTTATGGGTAAAAGAGAAACTCGGATGAGTTCCACCACGGAATATGTGATAACATTTGTCGTAAGAATTACTGAAAAACCCTTTGAGTTATTCAGCTAGAAAGTGAACAGATTAAAATTGTTTTGTGCCATCCACACTGTTTTCCCAAGTCAGCAATGGTGAAAGAAAAAACAATGAGGCCTTCAGTAATTGTACCAACAGTCGCACTCTTGAATTTTAAGAGCTATCAAGCGAACGGTGAACAAGGAAAACGGGATCAGGAGGACACAACAGCAAGAGGGATCATAATTTCAATTTAGAGCTAAAGAGATCAATTGGAAAAAAAATCCAACTCATTCCATAAGACGTTTGACACGCGAGAGAGGAGTTTTACCAATGCCAGTCCAAAGTGCAGTGAAAAAAAGGCTTGAAAATGAAATCTTATGTGTAACGTGTGAGGCACATTGTTATTCCCAAACAGAAAGTTAGAAGATTAGAGAGGGTGAAGATCCTCCTGACTTAATTGGAAAATTATCCTGAAAAATAATATATATATATATATATATATATATATATATATATAATGAATATGCTTATAAAAACGCGTAAATTTCAAGAATTAATTATTCAAAAAAAAATTACCTTGAAGATGGAACAGACCTTGGTACTTTAATTCAATTTAATTCAAATAATTATATTGAAGTTTTCGGCTCTTTTTTTGAGAAACATGAGAACACTTATGTAGCGATGGAATCATATTTTAAATAAATAATTATATTTAGGCTCTACTTTTGTATCAAGCACAGTTTTTTTTTTTAAATAATAACAAAAATACTAAAGAAGTTTGGATTATTTACCTAACGAGTACTTTCCTATTTTCTATATATTTTCACACACACACACACACACACACACACACACACATATATATATATATATATATATATATATATATATATATATTTTAAATTGACTGATTTACAATATGGTTTTTCGCTAGACAGTAATAACCATGTTTCAAAAATGGAAGCTAAAACCTTTAAATTTAATTATATAATTAAATTAAAAGCATTAGATTCGCTCTGTAATTTTACATTGACAGCTTTTTTGTAAAAATAAAAATAAAAATAACAAGAACACCATATTATATATCTTAATGTTCTTTCATCACGATTCTTCTGTTAAGCTTGGAGAGAATTTATACATTCTTATTGCTCAAAGAAGTGTTATAAAATTTTCGGAAAATTCCAATAAGACAACTTTAATCATTACTAAGACACAACGGTTCAAACTTAAACATTGCAGCATACGCAAACATAATGGATGCTTGTAAACCTGCCCAGTTCACCCAGTGTTCATATATGTTTATGTTAGTGCGAGCTTCAATGCTTGAACGTGCGTCTATCTATGCCTGTGTACGTATGAGTGTTGAGTGTTGAGGGTACGTATGAGTGTTGAGTTCCGACGACAATTATTCCTCCCACTACCATAAAACATCGATAGACGCAACCGTAAATAAATCAAACATTTCTTAATCAATTTGTCTCACGATCGTGAAGAGCGTGACACACATTGTCACAAACTCACATCAATCTAAATAATATGTTAGCTCCATCACTGATATTGAGCACTTTCCAATAAGTACCGCGCAAATATAATATATAAACAATATATATATAAACTGAATATATATATATATATATTTATATATATATATATATATATATACTTATTACACATACACATTTTATACACATATATATATATATATATATATATATATATATATATATATATATATATATATATATATATATATATATATGTCCAGTTAAGATAAATGAATCGTTCACTCGGCAGTAATTTGCAATCGCCCGAGGAGACGCATTGATATGCGTTGTAACACGATTGCAATTGTGTAGCGATTTTTAACATGTTTTTGTTTTACACACACACACACACACACACACACATATATATATATATATATATATATATATATATATATATATATATGAAAAATGTGTATTTATATATATATATATATATGCAATTTTTTATATATGTTATTTATATATTATATATGCGCGGTACTTATTGGAAAGCGGTCATTACCAGTGACGATCGAAAATAGCTTGAAATCCAGGATCACAAACTCACATCAATCCAACTAGAAGGCTGCTGAAAGATATCATCTACCCAATTTCACGCGAAAGGCTTGGCTCAATCAGCGATATCATTTTGAAGCACTTTCCAAAGATACCGTACGCTCCTCAACAGTCCGCCTGCGTCAAGAATCTGCCTACCTGACATATCGAATATGATGAGATTTGAACACCGAATGGGAATGTTCTAAGAACTATAATACACGCCCATATTCTCCATATATACATACAAACGTTTCTGTGTGTGTTTGTGTGTGCTAGTACGATGGGATATCTTATTTAGGTTTTGTTAAATATTTCCCTAAAAGTCAATTAAATCTTCGAAACTGTAAATCTTTTTCTTCACTTCCTCCCTTGAATTCTTCCATTCCATACTCACACCCTTTTTTCTGTTCTTTTCTGTATCATATTTTCTCTGTGCTTTGCAGCATATTACACAGAGCCCCCCCCCAAGTCTATCCCGGCCATTATTTCGATAATTGGTTCCACCAAAGGATAATGAACGGCTTGATAAATTTCTATCGCATGAATAATTTCGAAATAAAAACGTTAATTTTCTTAAAACGTTCCCAATAGCTGCAATCAAGAAATGGCACACTTGGGTGAATATTCGGCCCCCACTTACTCTAAATATTCCACAGTAGTTCCTGGTTATTTTCTTGGCACTTTCTATTTTAGGATCAATTTTCAAAAATCACCAGCCGCTTTCTTTACGCCTACACTGCTTTTCCTTTTGTTGTTTTCTTTTTTTTTTCTTGTTTTCTTTTCTTTTCTTCTTTTCTTCTTCTTTTCTTTTCTTCTTTTTTTTTTTTTTCTTTTCTTTCTTTTCTTTTCTTTTCTTTTCTTTTCTTTTCTTTTCTTTTCTTCTTTTCTTCTTCTTTTCTTTTCTTCTTTTCTTTTCTTTTTTTCTTCTTTTCTTCTTCTTTTCTTTTCTTCTTTTCTTTTCTTTTTCTTTTCTTTTCTTCTTTTCTTCTTCTTTTCTTCTTCTTTTCTTTTTTCTTTGCTTTTATTCTTTTCTTCTCTTTTTCTTTTCTTGTGATCTTTTCTTCTTCTTATCTTTTCTTGTTTTCTTTTCTTCCTGTTTTTTTTTTCTTCTTTTCTTCTTCTTTTCTTTCCTTATTGTGTTTCCTTCGGTTGTTCATTAACAATATTACGCCTCGTTGTACGTTTTCTTAAAAGTTTGGATAAACAAAAAGTAAGAAGAAAGAAGCAGATAAATCGACAGGAAAATGGAACTTTTAACATTTTTATATTTATGTCTTCATAGTTTTTTTTTTCAGTAAGTTTGCAAGAATCTATGAAAAGAAATTCGAGGGATTTATTTTTCTCACGCTGCGTTACTTCAAATAAGTAAATAAGTTTTTTGTTATTTTTCTCAAATCGCAAATCTGTTTGCTTTGCAACATTTGCATTAAACACTTTCTATTTCTAATTTTCACATGACGAATCTGCAGTATGCCAAGGGAATGATATTAATAAAAAAATTCGCCGTTCACTGCAAAGAAAATTTAGACTAGACAGAATAATAAAACATATGAAAATGTTGTACTTTTAAGTCTCCTTAAAATAATTAAAGACTCATTTATAAATAAGATATCAACTATGTAAACCAAAAGGTTTTTTTTTTTTACCAGAGGAATAATGAAACCTAAATCTAAACGAAGAGCCTTTTAGGCTGGAATAAGGTTAATGGGAATTAGTAACAAATGTTCATTCAGTGCTGCATGTGACATTCAGCAGAAAATAATACAACAGTTGACATGAAAAATCAACCAAACGTAAAATTATTTCCCAATAAATTTTCATATTAAAACCCTTTTCCAATGCGTTTTTATCATGATATCCCTTCCCAATGTATGTTAATCCTAAAATCAACCCCCACTGCATTTTCATAGAAAAAACACTTCCTAGAACATTTTCATTCCTTTCCAATGCATTTTCATAGTAAAATCCCTTTCCAATATATTTTCATAGAATCTCTTTTTAATGCATTTTCATAGTAAAATCTTTTTCCAATACATTTTCATAGTAAAATCATTTTTCAATGCATTTTCATGATATAATCCCATTCCAATGCATTTTCATGATATAATCCCATTCCAATGCATTTTCATGATATAATCCCATTCCAATGCATTTTCATGATATAATCCCATTCCAATGCATTTTCATGATATAATCCCAAATGCATTTTTAGTAAAATCTCTTTCCAATGTATTTTCATATAAAACATTTTCATGATATAAATCCAATGCATTTTCATAGTAAAATCTCTTTCCAATGGATTTTTTCCAATGTATTTTCATGATATAATCCCATTCCAATGCATTTTCATAGTAAAATCTCTTTCCAATGGATTTTCATAGTAAAATCCCTTTCCAATGCATTTTCATAGTAAAATCCCTTTCCAATGCATTTTCATAGTAAAATCCCTTTCCAATGTATTTTCATAGTAAAATCCCTTTCCAATGTATTTTCATAGTAAAATCCCTTCCCAATGCATTTTCATAGTAAAATACCTTTCCAATGCATTTTCATAATAAAATCTCTTTCCAATTCATTTTCATCATAAAACGACTGTCAATGCATTTTCATAGTAAAATCCCTTTCCAATGCATTTCATTATAAAATCCCTTCCCAATGTATTTTCCCCATAAAATCCCTTTGTCATGCGTTTTCATAGCAAAATTCCTTCCCCATGCATTTTTATAGCAAAATCCCTTTCCAATTCATTTACATAGTAAAATCAATAAATAGAAAATTCTTTCGCGTCTTCTGTTATCTTAATCTCTTCAAATCTTGAGACAACTATGATCTATTCTACCTATCCTCCTGATCCTCCTGATACACGCCTTTACCTCCGTCTTCTCATACCCTTGTACCAGTAATCTATTACCTTATATATATCTTAGGCCTGAAGAAAGATTCTACTTTGTTTTTCTGCAACTTAACCTCATTTTTCGGCATCAGGTGAAAAATGCTGAACTTTTATTTTAATGCTGATTTTAAATTAAGAAACTATCACTAGAATTATGGAAGCAAATCACGTTTAAAGTGTATGCAACGACTGTGAGTTTCAGGCTTTTCAATGTAACTATTGTTGAATTCATTGCAGCTTTCACTTGTCGTGATGCCTAAAAAGTTCGTCTTTCATGTCTTATTCTTCAGGTTCTTGATCTGATAGGTCACAAGGTTGTATTGCTTTCACACATCTTTGAATTTCGATTGAACCGCAATCTTCTGCTTTCACTATTTCTATTACTGTTCCATTTTTTATACTTAACTCGGAGTAAGTATTCATTTGTAACGAAGGCTTGAGCTCAATGACATCACACAGGAAACTGACACGATATCCGTCTATGTGTTGCTTCCCTTAAGGGCGTCTAAGAACGTAGCTCTTCTGTTTCCTATCCTTTGTCACTCTTAGCAATTTTTGTGTTTTTCTTTCTTCTTTTTATGTGTCATTTCCTTTCAGGAAGTAGGCGATCATGGCTCTGCTTCCTCCCTCTATCCTTTGCAACTCTCAACAAGTTCCTTCCCTCTGCTTCCACCAGGTATGCCACGCAACTTTTTCCCTTGTCTCTCTTTCCCTCTATTCGATCCGAGAAGAAAGGGCTAAGCTTCAATTGTAAGAAGACAGAAAACAACGCATGACATAGCTGGCGGGCTTGAGCAAGTGGATCACAGAACGTGGTCTGGGGGGTGGGGATTAAGCAGAGGGAATGATCTTGTTGAGAGCTGCAATGGATAGAGGGAGGTGGAGAGCCATGATCGCCTACGTCCTGAAGAGACATGGCACATAAAAAGAAAGAAAGAATTATGTACAATGAGTAATATAGTTGAACAATTCAACGGGAAAATTTGAAAATAAATACAATGTATCTAAATACAAATTAAAGACATACACTTTCTCACAGACGTGCCGTCGCCTCTTTCTGTCTTTTTTTACAAATGCTTTCATGGTAACTACTCCGATGAGCTGCTTTCGCTGGTTCCCAGACTTCATGAATTTAAGCGTTCATTTAGGCTGGCATCTCGTTCTCACCATTTCACTGTCAAAAAGGTTAAATGTAGTTGTCTCTTCTACTTCAATAGCTTCATGTCTCGCACTTCCCGTCTGTGTAACTCCCTTCCTCTTACTTCCTTTCCTGATTGCATTTGAATATTTGGAGATTATAGCTATGCCAATCGACATCTCCAGATGCATCAATCTATTGCCTGTCCTTCTCTTCATCCTTTCCTCTATCACACCTCTTTAATCTTGCTCCTACTCTCTGTAACACCTCGTGTGCTAGTGGCACTCCAGCCTTGCTTTGAGTGAAATGCTAAAAAAAAAATATTTCTAGTTTGTACTGTTGGTGACACCACCACATGGTAGTCAATCTTTTCATGAATCAACAGTTCTAAATTAATCCATTTCGAGAAATATGATCATCATCGTTGCAAAAGATCACAGCCTTTCGGCGTCCTGGGTATGACGATAAACTACATCCGCGTCCTGGGTAAGACGATAAACTACATCCAACAGCAAGGCCTCTGATCAGGAGGTTTTGAGGAGCGTGGAACCACCTCTTAATTCCTGGTGTTCCCAGGTCCACCCTGACCCCGGGTAGTAGCGCCTGTTAGGGTTCCAGCTATGGGCAAATCGTTAACCCCGAAACTGAGGTAAAAAGCATTATAAAAGTGTAAAAATAGGTTTTAATACCAGAAATACTTTGTAAAAAATTATTACCAAAAAATAATATTACCAGCTTTATGTTTTTGAGGAAAAAATATTAACAAAAATAGATTTTTGGCAAAACAAAAATACTACCACGAAAAAAAAAAAGTTGCCGGCATTAAATGACCCATTGAGTTTGATATGCCGTAAAACAAAACAAACCAAACCACAGCCTTTCGGCCGAGGTATCATCCGGCCTTCAGGCGTTCCAGGTCTTCCTCAGAAGATTTTAGAACCGAACTTTCTGTTTTCTGCATTGAAATAGACTGTATTCATTTATACGAAATCACCCAATGTCAGACTCAAGAGACACTCAAGATAGAGTGATACTGAATAAATTGTGATATGAATGTAAGCGTGGTTAGAAGAATGTGACGATAGCGGATGATGAGTATAGATAGCGATTGACTAATTATATGAAGAATTCAAGATTTTAGTGTTCGGGGAAGCATCAACAAGGGAGATTGTCAGACAAAGTAAAAGATCTTTGGGTAAATTATCTGAGTGGAACTTCATGGTTCGAATTATGGATCTCGTATCAGTTAATCGTATTTCGGTCATTTCTTCTTGTGATATCGATTTTGCGTTTTCCTTCAAATCAGTGTATATGTATATCCCAATGGACATTGTTGTCTCTAGATAAACAAATTTCTAATTTTGTGTTCATTTGGATAGGCCTTGTGTACTTCTGCTATTGAATTTATTGTAATTACAGAAGAACAGGTATTATTTTCTGATTGATTCTAGCATCACAACTGCGAAGAAAGGAGACTAAAGTTACAACTATATTTGGAATCCTTAGATTTCGAGCTGATTCTTTTCTTTGTGTATTTCAGCTATTAAATGTGTTGCAATTATAGAAGAATAGGTATTATTTTCTGACTAAGCCTTATATCACAATTAAGACGGTAGAGGACTATATAGAGAAATGTATGTGGAATCCGGAAACTTTTGTTTTCGTTTTGGCTTTCTGCTATTAATTCTTTTTTAATTAAAGAAGAACGGTCATTATTTTCATGATTGACCCTTTTAACATAATTACGAAGGAGACTTTTTTTTAAATCATTTCACCCTAAACCACGCAATAACAGTAGGTAAGGATTGACATTACATTTAAATTTTTGAATATAATTTTGACTGGAAAACAAGCAGCCGGTAGACAGTTCCAAAGGCGAGAAGTGTAAGAAAAGAATCTGTTAACATGGAAATTACTGTTACATCTAGCCATTTTAATTGTAAAATGATGAGACCATATCGCCAATCTAGTACTGCGCTGAAATTCATGAAATTTAGGTACCACAAAGGAAAGTTCATCAGAATAATTAGAATGAAAGTCTTCATAGAAAAGGCACAGTGAAACTACATTACAGCAATGTGAAATTGACTGAAGCCGAGATGCTATGTCAGGACAAATAACATAACAGATACCTATTTGGATATTATCAATAGGCTCTAA